AGCTGAGGGACAGTGCCCAGGCCCAGAGTTCAGGCCCCATGATCGGACCCCAAAAAAAACAACAACAACAAAAATGGTCCAGCCAGGCCCAGTGCCTCACTCCTGTCATTCTAGTTACTCAAGAGGCTGTGATCTGAGGACCTCAGTTCAAAGCCAGCCCAGGCAGGGGAAGTTCACCAGACTCTCATCTCCAGAAGTGGAGCTGTGGCACAAGTGGTAAGAGTGCCAGAGTTGAACAACAACAACAACAAAAAGCTAAAAGTGGGGCTGGGAAGGTGGCTCAGTGGTAGAGTGTTTGCCTGGAATGCATGAGGCCCTCAGCACCACATACACAGAAAAAGCTGGAAGTGGTGCTGTGGCTCAAGTGGTAGAGTGCTCGCCTAAAGCAAAAGAAAGCTCAGGGACAGTGTCCAGGCCCCTGAGTGCAAGCCCCAGGACTGGCACAGACAGAGACAGACAGACACAGACACACACACCCTCCCTTGGAGGCCGCCCCCACAGCGCCCCTGGCGGTCGCCCCTGGAACTGCACGGGGGGTGGAAGGGAAGTGTGTGTGTGGGAACAAAGTGGGGGTGCAGGTGCCTTCTCCCATGACGTCATCCTCAGGGCCTGCCTTTCCAGACCAAAGACGTCTCAATCTATTTTTTTTTGGGGGGACGGGGGCTTGTTTGCCCCCCACTGATCCCTTCTCCCCGCAGGAAGTGGGGAGGGGAGGGAGGGAAGGCCCTGCGAGACCAGGCCCTGCGGCGCCCCCCTGGCAGCCCCGGGCTCCCGCAGGCCGGGGCCCGCGCGCCCCCTGGCGGCCTCGCGGCGCACTGCACCTGGGTGAGGCCGGGCTGGTCCCCTTCATGGGGGGGGGCTGCCCCTGGTCTGTGCGTGGGGGGGGGCAGGGGGGGTCTGGAGAGCCGGGGAGGTGCGCTGCGCCCATCAGCTTGGTCTCTGTTGGGGTTGGCACACCATGGACGGGGCGGGATGGGGTGGGGGAGGCCTCCAAGGGGCCACTTGCTCTCCTGGTCCATCTATCATCTATCCATGCGTAATCTGTCCATCACTATCTATGTAACTACGTATCTATGTGTCTGTCTGTCTGTCTGTCTGCCCATCTATCTAGGCATAATCTATCCATCACTATATCTGTCCCTCTATCCATTATCGATGGGTAATCTATGCATGACTATCTTCTATCTATCTATCCATCCATCACTATCCTCTATCCATCCATCCATCACTATATCTATCCATCCATCCGTCACTATCTATCTGTCCATCCATCCATCTATCTATCCATCCATCCATCCATCGACCACTATGTTCTATCTATCCATCCATCATCACCATCCTCTATCTATCTATCCATCCATCGCTATCTTCTATCCATACATCCATGTATCTATCCATCCATTACTATCTTCTGGGTTTTTTTTTTGTTTTTTGGTTGTGGGGCTTGAACTCTGGACCTGGGTACTGTCCCTCATCTCTTCAGCTCAAGGTGACCGCTCTACCACTTGAGCAACAGCGCTACTTCCGGTTTTCTGATGGTTTATTGGAGATAAGAGTCTCACAGACTTTCCTGCCTGAGCTGGTTTGGAACTGCAATCCTCAGATTTCTGCTTCCTGAGTAGCTAGGATGACAGGCGTGAGCCACCGGCACCTGGCTCACCCATTACTGTCTTCTATCTATCAATCCATCCACCTATCCATCCAGCACTATTATCTCTCTATCTCTCTATCTAGTCTGTCAGTCATCTTTTTCATCTACTAGCTAACCTTCCGTCATCTATTTATCTATGCCTACTCTATCCATCCACTGTCTAGCTATCTTTTCATCCATTATCCACCCATCAACCCCTGCACCATCTATTTATCCATCCATCTCTCTATCCCTCATCTTTCTGTCCATCTCTCCTTGATTGCTTCGTACGCCTCATCCATCATCTCTTCATCCATCCATCCACTCATTCATCATCTGTTTTATCTACTTATGTATTATCTCTCCATCCATCAATTATCTATCTTCCATCAACTATCAATTAATCTCATATATATGTAAATTTATTATGTTATATAATCTACAATTTATTTATTTTTGCCAGTCCTGGGGCTTGAACTCAGCGCCTGGGCACTGTCCCTGAGCTTCTTTTACTCTACCAACACTCTACCACTTGAGCTCAGTGCCACTTCTGGCTTTTTCTGTGTATGTGGTACTGAGGAATCGAACCCAGGACTTCATGCGTTCTAGGCAAGCACTCTACCACGAAGCCATAATACCAGTTCTCTATTATCTATCTATATCTATCCATTCTCTGTCCATCCATCCATAGTTTATCTAGCTTTCCATCATTTATTAATGATATATTTACATCAATCTATATTTATCATATCTATCAATCTATCTATCCTTAATCCATTTATTATTTATCTTGCCATTTATCATCTATTCATCCATCCACCCATCCATCATCTATCTGTACAGCCATCTATCTTCTATCCATCTGTCATTCATCCATCCTCTCTCCATCCATATATTCATTCATCTAACATCTGTATCCAGCTATGAACCCACCCACCCATCATTGCTATCTACTTTTTATCTTTCTGTTATCTAACTATATATCTATTGTTTATCAACTACATATAATCTATTTTAAACTCAGATTTAATAAAACACAGGAGTGTATGTAAGACATCTGAATTTTTGTTGTTGTTGGTCTTGGGGTTTGAACTCTGGGCCTGGGCGCTGTCCCTCGGCTCTTCAGCTCAAGGCTAGTGATCTACCACTAGAGCCACAGTGCCACTTCCGGCTTTTTCTGCTTATGTGGTGTTGAGGAATCGAACCCAGGGCCTCAATCATGCGAGGCAAGTGCTCTACCACTGAGCCACCCTCCCAGCCCACATGTAAATATTTTTTTTTAAATGGTGGCAAGTTTTTTCTCAGAATTCCCATCCAAAGGGGCTGGGAAGGTGGCTCAGTGGTAGAGCGCTTGCCTTGCATGCATGAGGCCCTGGGTTCGATTCTTCAGCACCACATAAGCAAAAAGAAAAAAGCCAGAAGTGGTGCTGTGGCTCAAGTGGTAGAGCGTTAGCCTTGAGCTGAAGAGCTGAGGGACAGCGCCCAGGCCCAGAGTTCAGGCCCCACAACCGGATCCAAAAAATAAAAAAAAAAAAGAATTCCCATCAGAAGTTCTCTCCTTCCCTGGTTGCTGAGAGTGTGGACTTGTTGGTTCTCCTCCCCCGATCCTGGCTGAGCCATTTTCTATGGGAAAGTTCACCCTCCTGCTCCGTCCATGTGTCCTCTGTCTCCCTCCACGACTAGAGCTAGGACAGAGATAACCCTGGGTTTTTTTTTTTTGGGGGGGAGGGGCTTTGCGGCTGAAGCAGGGGATATTTATTCCCCAAGGCTTTTATTTCCCCTTGGTGTAGCTTCATTAAGACAATCAAGGACAATTCCATGTCTTGTTTGTTTTGCAGGACTGAGGACCAAACCTGGGGCCTTGCAGGTCCAGGCAAGTGCTCTACCCTGGCTCTTAGTTGTTGTTTTTTATTTGTTTGTTTTTCTAAACAAAGTCTTGCAATTTAGGCAGGTTAGCCTCAAACTCAAGATCCCGCCCATCTTCTTTGCCTCTTGAGTGCTGGGATTGCAGGCATGCACCACCATGCCTCAAGCTTCCTTTGTATGATGAATCAATTTTCCCAGTGACTCAGTAGGGGCTGAGATCTTGTGTTCCAGACATGTCTTTGAGCTCTAAAGAACAAGGGAGAAGGCAGCACTGAGGTAGGGGAAGTGGTGGTCGATGAGGAGGGAAGCGTGGGTTTCCACACCTGCTCCGCAACTTCCTGTTGGCTGAAGTCCTTGGTTTTGTTATTGTCTGTTGTTTTCTTTGTCAGTCCTGGGGCTTGAACTCAGGGCCTGGACACTTGTCTCTTAGTTTTTTGTTTTTGTTTTTACTCAACGCTGGTTCTCTACCACTTGAGCTACAACTCTACTTCTGGCTACTTGGTAGTTAATTAGAGATAAAAGAGTTTCATGGACTTTCCTACCCCAGGCTGGCTTCAATTCTGGATCCTCACATCTCAGCCTCTTGAGATCTAGACAAGACAGCTCTGCTGGCACCTCCAAAAAAAAAAAAAACCAGTTGTTACCAGGCATCAGTGGCTCACACCTGTCATCCCAGCTACTCAGGAGGCTGAGATCTGAGGATCCCAGTTCAAAGCCAGCCTGGGCAGCAAAAGTCCGTGAGAATCTTATCTCCAATGAACCACCAGGAAACCGGAAGTGGCGCTGTGGCTCAAGTGGTAGAGCACTGGCCTTGAGCTAAAGAGCTGAGGGACAGCGCCCAGGCCCAGAGTTCAGCCCCCACGACTGGACCCCCCCCAAAAAAAAAAGAGTTCCATGGACTTTCCTGCTCGGGCTGGGTTTGAACTGGGATCCTCAGATCTCAGCCTCCTGAGTGCCTGAGTAGTTAGTCAGGTAATGAATGGTTGCCTAGTCTAGTCATTACCTACCTAGACTATGGTAGCCTCTCTGTACAACACATTACTAGTAACTATTACTATTATTATTATTAAACATAACCCCTGAACCTCTCCTCTCCTCCCGGAGGGTGTTTGGACTCTGGGATGGATGACTTTAGTTTTTTTTTTTGTCGGTCGTGGGGCTTGAACTCTGGGCCTGGGCGCTGTCCCTCAGCTCTTCAGCTCAAGGCAAGCGCTCTACCACTTTGAGCTACAGCGCCACTTCCAGTTTTGTGGTGGTTTATTGGAGATAGGAGTCTCACGGTCTCTCCTGCCCTGGTTGGCTTTGAACCGGCATCCTCAGATCTCAGCCTCCTGAGTAGCTAGGATTACAGGTGTGAGCCACCAGCGCCCGGTCCATGACTTTAGTTTTTGTGGGAACCCCCCTTTCCCTGACCCAGGCCATGCCCCTGGGTGGAGTGAGGTGGTGTGTGTGTGTGTGTGTGTGTGTGTGTGTGAATGCAGCCTGCCTGCTCACAACCCTTCTGTCACCGACTTCGGCTCTGCTCTGCCCCCTGGTGGCCAATGGTGGCACCACCTGAAATGCGGCCACTGGGCAGCCCAAGGCCCTGGGGAATGCTGGGAGAGAAGCTGATTTCTGGCTTCTCTAAGCAGCAGAACTTGAGGTGCAGGGGATTTCTCAGCGGAGGACACCCCCTTTTTCCCCTTGCAGCCAGGCTGTCCTGAGGCCCTTCTCCCCACCCCCTTGCTCAGAGCTGCACCTGCTCAGAACTGGGAGGGCCAGGCATCAGTCAGGGCTTTCTTGTGGTTGAGCCTGTCCTGGAATTCTCTTCTCTCTCATCCTGTGGCTTTTTTATTCCTTTTTCTAGGACTTGAACTCAGGGCCTGGGCAATTCTCCTTTGGCTTTTTTTTTTTTTGGCTCAAAGCTCTATCACTTGAACCACACGTCCACTTTTGACCTTTTGCTGGTTCATTGGAGACAGGTGTTTCACAGACTTTCCTACCCTGGCTGGCTTTGAACCACAATTCTCAGATCTCAGACTCCTGAGTAGCTAGGATGACAGGTGTGAGCCACTGGTCTAACATGGATTTTCTTTTTTTTTTTTTTAATTTTCTGAGCCAGGCGCCAGTGGCTCACACCTGTCATCCTAGCTACTCAGGAGGCTGAGATCTGAGGATCGCGGTTCAAAGCCAGCCTGGGCAGGAAAGTCTGTGAGATTCTTACCTCCAACGAACAACCAGAAAAACTAGAAGTGGTGCTGTGGCTCAAGTGGTAGAGCGCTTGCCTTGAGCTAAAGAGCTGAGGGACAGTGCCCAGGCCCTGAGTTCAAGCCCCATGACTGACAAACAAACAAATAATAAATTAAAAAATATATTCTGTACGTTGATAGGCTAGACTATGTGTGCAGTTGATGCCAAACTAGTTTAAAAAACAACAAAACAACAATAACAACACACCTACAACATTACCAGGCACTGGTGGCTCACATCTGTCATCCTAGCTACTCAGGAGGCTGAGATCTGAGGATCTGGTTTGAAACCAGCCTGGGTAGGAAAGTCCATGAGACTCTTATCTTCAATGAACCACCAGAAAACCGTAAGTGGAGCTGTGGCTCAAAGTAGTGGAGTGCTAACCTTGAGCAAAAAGAGCTCAGGGACAATGCCCACCATAAGTTCAAGCCCCAGGACTGGCACACACAAACACACACACACACACAAACACACACACACACACACACACACACAGAGTCACAATAAAGCCAGGTTGACAGGGTTTGGTTTAGGTTTCAGACAAAACTGAAATACCCTGCAATATCTTCTTCCTCTCCCATCACCTTTGGTAGGCTTTGGTCCTATATTTCCAGAGACCTGTGAACTTCCTTTCACCAAGCAGATATAGGCCTCCAGTGCCCTTGGAGGGGATGCTGTCTGAATGGCAGGCACCATGACAGCCCTGTTGTGGAGCTGAGGTCCATGCACTGAGGGCTTAGGTGAGCTCCAGGCACCCAGTTCTTCTTCCAGCTGTGGGGATATCTGTACCAGGGTAGGGCGGGGCAGGTCCCTGGAGTGTCAGGGCACAAAGGAGGGTCAGCTGCGTCCCGTTAGCAGGGACAGACTCTTGCACGGAGCTGGCGTTATAATGGAGACCATGCTGGCCCTAATGGAAAGCAGCCGTTGGGCCCTGGCTGAGCCCCCTTCCCACGGGGCCTTGAGCGGCCGAGATAAAACGGAAGAGCCAAGAGAGGCGCTTTGATTCCAATACGAAACAAATTATTCCTCCCGGAATGGAACAAACTCAGTCAGAGCGGAATCTCACGGCCGTCATTCTTGCCCGCAGAAACTACCCGCCCGAGGACCCCGGGGACTGCTGGCCTTCTACGCTTGGAGGGGCCTCTGCCTTGGGGTGCTAGCCATGGTCACCCCCAAATCTCACTCCCCCAAGCCAGTGTGATTTCCCAAGAAGGATGGGGTATGGTGGAACCTGAGATTGCACTTTGTAGATGGCATCGGTGGCTCACGCCTGTCATCCTAGCTACTCAGGAGGCTGAGATCTGAGGATCAAGGTTCAAAGCCAGCCCGGGCAGGAAACTTGGAGGGTCTCTTATCTCCAGTGAACTACCAAAAAACCAGAAGTGGAGCTGTGGCTCCATTCCACATTGTAGAGCACCAGCCTTGAACACAAAAGCTCAGGGACAGCATCCAGGCCCAGAGTTTAAGCTCTAAGATTGGCGTGTGCGTGCGCGCACACACACACACACACACACACACACACACACAATGTGCATTTTGCAGGTGAACACTGCTGATGACTGGTCCAGGGACAGTCTTTAAAAAGTCACCTGACATCCAGGCACTGGTAGTTCATTCCTGTCATCCTAGCTACTCAGGAGGCTGAGATCTGAGGATCGTGGTTCAAAGCCAGCCTGGGGCAGGAAAGTCCGTGAGACTCTTTGTCGCCAATGAACCACTAGAAAACCAGAAGTGGCGCTGTGGCTCAAGTGATAGAGCACTCACCTTGAGCTGAAGAGCTGAGGGACAGCGTTCAGGCCGTGAGTTCAAGACCCATGACTGATAATAGCAATAAAAAAGTCATCTGACATACAACACAGGGCTAACAAGGCCTCTGGCCTCCCATCCTGGCCCTGGTGTTCAGATGGCCGAGAACTTGGAGAGGAAGGTGTCTGTGGGGCCCCCGCTAGCTAGTAAGATGCATCCACTGATGATCTGCCTAGATTCCCTGCTTTCCTTGGAGTTTATTTATTTTGGGGGGGCGGGCTAGGGGGATGTACCCTGAGTCTTACACATGGTACACAAGGATTCTACCAGTGGAGCTACACCTGTCCACCTCTTTCCCCTCTCCAGCTAGTTTCTGAAAGCTGTTGTTTTATTGTTGGTTTTGTGTGTGTGTGTGTGTGTGTGTGTGAGAGAGAGTCGTGGGGCTTGAATTCAGGGCCTGGGCACTGTCCCTGAGCTTCTTTTGCTCAAGGCTAGCACTCTACCCCTTGGGCCACAGTGCCACTTCCGGCTTTTTCTGCTTATGGGGTACTGAGGAATCGAACCGAGGGCCTCATGCATGCGAGGCAAGCACTCTACCACTGAGGCACCTTCCCAGCCCCTTAGTTTTGTTTTTTTGTGTGACAGTCTTTCTATGTAGCCCAGGCTGGCCTTGAACTCAAGACCTTCCTGCCTCTGTTTCCCAAGTGCTGAGATTATATAGCTGGTGTTTCTATTATCTATAAATTCTAGAAGAAGGATTCCTTCCCTCCCCCCACTCTGTTTTGTTTTTGTTTTTTTTTTTATAATACTGGGATTTAAATCACACTTGTTAGACAGGTACTCTACCATTTGAACAAGACCTCTAGCTTTTTTTTTTAGCTTTAGCTATTTTATTATTATTTTTTTAGCTATTATTTTAATGAGTTAAGAGTCTCATGGTCTTTCCTGCCTGGGGCTGGTTTTGAACCCAGATCCTCCAATCTCAGCCTCTCTTAAATGGCTAGGATTCTAGGCATGAGCCACTGGAGTCTGGCAAGAGAAATGGAGTTTGAAATCCTTTCGTTTTTGCCTGAGAGATGAACAAAAGCTTTGTCTGTGAACGTACCCATCAAAGCCTAGCGAAATTCAGGCTTGTTGGAGGGCCTCAACCGTGGATGGCAAAGGAAACTTTCCCATTTGGCAGCTTTGGCTGCCTTCTGAGCTTGCGTGTGTATGTATGTGTGTGTGTGCGCACACACACACACACATGCACGTGCGTGTCTAAAGCAGCAAATGTAACTTTTATTTTAGGAACAAAAAATATCATCTCTTGACCCAACAATAGCCGGATTCCTCCTGAACGCAGGCCTTGCAGATTTTCCTGTTTTAACTGTTGTGGTTTAAACAGCCTGAGCCCAGGAGAGGGGGGGCAGTGGTGGTGGTAGTGGTGCTGATTGTCTCTACCTTTGGAGGCCTAGAGCAGAGCCCTGATAACCTGGACCAGGCTCGATGCCAGGAGGCTTGTGTGGGAATGATTAAGGTCAGGAGTTGAGGTAGAGGGTCACTTCAGCAGCCCCCGCCCCCTCCCAGACCAGCCACCGCCAGCCACTGTGTAGAGGTAGACAGACCTCCATGGCTGGTGCATGGAAGCTTTCTTTGTTCAGACGCTGGGTGGAGTGTGAACTTGAATACGTACCAAAACATTTAAAAAAAACAACAAAAGAGCTTGATGTGGAAGGCCTGATCTCAGCTGCACAATTCAGGTCAGAGAAGAGGAACCAACTCCTTCCGGGTCACGGCGAAGGCACTGTCAATCTCTTCCACATCGCTAGGAGGGCTGGCGCACAGCAAACCCAGGACAGGGGCTGCATTTGGCTTGCCAAGGTACTGACATGGCAGATCTTCAGGTATAATGTTGATTGGTCCTAGGCTGTGTGTGTGTGTGTGTGTGTGTGTGTGTGTGTGTGTGTGTGCGTGCGTGCGTGCGTGGTCCTAGGGCTTGACCTCAGGGCCTAGGCATTGTCCCTTAGCTTATTTATTTTGCTCAAGACTGGTGCTCTACCACTTGAACCACAGTGCCACTTCCAGCTGTTTTTTTTTTTGGGGGGGGGTGGTGGTGGTTCATTGAACAGAAAAGTCTCGCAGACTTTTCTGCCCAGGCTGGCTTGGAACCCCAATCCTGATCCTCAGATCTCAGCCTCCTGGGCTGTGAAGGACTACAGGCGTCAGCCAAGAAGCCCTGCCGTCAGGTAGGGTTTACAGATGACTCTGGTCTGGCTCTTGGTCACAAACCTGGACCCCAATCAACACTGAGGTAGCTGAGAGCAAAGGGGTCTGAACACAGAGTGGAGACTCCCCCTCCCCTCCATCTTCCCTCAGCCAGTGGCAGCCTTCTGTGGGAGCAGGTGTGATTGTCCAGGGATCCCCAAGATTGGGGCAAGGAGAGGTGGTGATGCTGAACACTGCCACCTGGGGCAGCCCCCCACCCCCACACTCTACACAGTCATACATGTTATTCTGCAATAGATCACAAAGGTACAGAAACATTTCTAAGGATATTCCTGCCTGGTGTTGGTGGCTCACACCTGTCATCCTAGCTACTCAGGAGGCTGAGATCTGAGGACTATAGTTTGTAGCCAGCCAGGTCAGAAAAGGTCTGTGGGGGCTAGGAATGTGGCTCAGTGGTAGAGCGCTCGCCTAGCATGCATGAAGCCCTAGGTTTGATTCCTCAGTACCACATAACACAGGAAAAGCCGGAAGTGGCACTGTGGCTCAAGCAGTAGAATGCTAGCCTTGAGCAAAAGAAAATCAGAGACAGTGCCCAGGCCCTGAGATCAAGCCCCAGGACTGGCAAAAAAAAAAAGTCTGCGAGACTCTTGTCTCCAATGGTCCTTCTTTCTGATGGAAGCCTAGAATTCCATTGTGAATATATACCATCTCCCCTTGATCCATTCATCTACTGAGGGGCATCTGGGTTGGTTCCATATCTTACCTATGGTAAATAATGCTGCAGTGAACATAGTTGTGCTGGTGGCTTTAGTGTGGCCTTGTTTGGCTAAATGCGCGGGAATGGAAAGCTCTCTATGTTTAGTCTTTTGAGGAACCTCCAGACTACTTTGCAGATTGGTTGAACCAGTTTACATTCCCACCACCAACGGAGTGTAGTAGCATTCCCTTTTGGCCACATCTCTTCTTATCTCCAATTAACCACACATGGTGTTGTGGCTCAGGGAGTAGAGCACCAGCTTTGAGGGGAAAAAAGCAAGGAGACAGTGACCAGGCCCTGAGTTCAAGCCCTAGTGCTCTCTCTCTGTCTGTCTGTCTGTCTCCAGGTGATTGTCCTGGAAGGTACAAGTAGGAGGGTAGATACCCCTAACTAGGGGTTCCAGCTCAGTACTGGGGAGTTAGTGCTGGAAGCTCTGGAGTCTCTCAGGGGCATTAGAGCTCAGAACCTCGGTTCTGGTCTGGCAGGACTTAGGGTCCTTGGGTTCCTGGCTTTGACTAACTGGCTTTCAGACCTGTCCCCCCTCACAGGCTTTGGGGGGGTCCCCCTTAGCCATGGGTCACAGCCCTACAGTCACGGAAGAGCTGACCGGTACTCTGGCTAGATCTGAAGTGCCCAGCCCCCGAGAATGAATTTGCAAATGAACCCTGTTTGAGTCACAATGGGCCTCCTGGGCAGCTGGGGTGGAGAAGAGGGGGGTGGGGTACGCTCCATCCTAGGGGACTCCTTTTAGAGCTCAGTCCCAGGGCAGATTCGTCAACTGACAACTGCCTGGAAAGGGCTGGAGGCTGAGATCGGAGGATCAAAAGCAGCCTGAAGTCCATCAGACTCTTATCTCCCACGAGTGAACAACCACAGCAACAAAGCTGGAAGTGGTACTGTGGTTCGAGTGGGAAAGCAAAAAGAAGCTCAGGGATGCAAGCCCCAGGGCCCAGCGCAAACACACACACACACACCCAGTGTAAGGCCTGTGTCCTTGTAAGGTACGATTTGTAAATGTCATTCACATGTCAGTGTGCACACCAGCCAGCCATGGTACACACATGACAAAGGCACTCATGCATGTCCACGCACGCATACAC